CTTTTGTATCCTCTCCTCCCCCATTCCCTTTTTCTCTCTCCATCCCTCTCTCCCTGTAAGTAAATCAATGAACATACACTTTATGCCATCTATTGATCCTTTCATATCTATCCCCCCCTCCTGTTCTTGCCCTCTCAGTTTTTCTCTTCCCCTTTGAATTTATAATTTTGTCTAATCTCCCCCTCTCTCTTTCTCTGTCTTTATACCTCTCGCTCTGGGACGTCCTATTTATATGGCTGGCACCTTCACGCTTGTACTGAAGTGTGTGTGCGAGTGAGGGAGAGTGTGTTTGATGTTGGTCTAAGTGGTTAACATAATACGAGCCCTCAGAGAGATGACGTTCCCGCACTCACACACACAATTTGAGGCTTTTTGGGTAAGCTTTTTCCATGAACAATTTGTGCTTTTTAGTATTCTCCAGCTGCAGATCCGTCTATCAATCGCATTCTCCCACTCTGCCACTACACACTCACAGACACACACTTTTAAGGCTCGAACGCCTTCGTAGAATGACAAAAACCCCATATTATCTTTTGTTATTTATCATTGCAGATGGAGCGATGGTTTCATGACCTCGCCATCCTCTCTCTGCATATGTTTTTATTTATTCAGACCTTTCTCTCTTTCCTACCCTCTCTTTCTCTAGCATGTTTATGTTTATTCACACACATCTCCCTCTTTTTCTCTCCCCAACCTCCCTCTCCCACTGTCCCCGTGTGTCCAGCTTTTGTTACCAGCCTGGTTTCCATAACAACTGCGACCTTTTCTGTCACTGCCTAACCATTTTTTAATCAGAAGTAGAGAAAAGATCGAAATTAGATGAGACACAGAGAGTGAATTTGGAAGAAGGTTACTCCGGGTTTGCATTATGGATGAAACAAATAGATAATGCTCCAAAAGAGGATAAAACGGTGTGAGAAAAGTTAGAAATGGACAAATGAGACCGTGGCTTACATCCCCAGCAACAAGTGCTGCTCAATAGATACTTTAAAGTTTGAAACTAAATGTCTCTGTTATATTAAAGGTTGAGGTCAATCATTGCAGATATTTAAAATGAGACTTCCCAAATGAATGATGGCGCACCTGGCATTGTTCAACATAGGCCATTAACTCTTACAAAGTACTCTTTATATTACAATGTACTTTCATGTTGCAGTCATCAAGGGGATGCATGCTGATTGTATTTCAGCAATATAACATCTTTAAATATGCATACTTTACTTAGCTCAATTTCATGGCAGAGGACTACAACATAATATTTGCAATGTTCAATTTTCATAATTTTTCAAACTAAAAAACATGACTTTTTGATGACTTACAGTACAGGCTGGGCTTTATTGCAGTTGAAGGAGCTAAAGCGCGTTGGAGCGATCTCTACGGACTAAGAAGGACAGAGCTCTTGAGGTATATTGCAGGTACTGTATTATAATATTCAATATGCCATTTCCCCATTATTATGGGATTGATTAAACTCCCCCATATACATATACATTTACATTTGTATCATTAATTTTTCATTCTCCTGCATGTGAGGAGAGTGTGTTCTGTGTGTGAGTTGGAACATGTGTTACATTTTTGTACCATGTTTCTTTATCCTTGATTGTGTGACCCTTTGGAAATGAGTAAATAAAACAAAAGTGAAAAGATTAGCTCCAGTAAATATAGTAGATATGACCTTTTAGTTTAATTCTGAAAAGCTGGAATTTAAACTATGTGTATGTTCAGCTTTGTCCGGGTTTCTATGCTCTGTTTTCTGGTTTCTATGCTCTGTTTCAAAGAAAATTCCTGTGATGAGATAAAACTGTAAATGAGTGACCTGACTGTCACAGGTAAATATAACATTTACAATACTGGAGGTGAGAATATGCTGCTGAAAATCTGTGACTCTACTAGTGGCTTCATCATTACAGTTCTTTAGAAATGTTCTTCAGTCTTTGTAAAGGTACCCGTCTATACAAATCCATTTTTCGAAATGATATTTCTTGCTCTCCATTAATTTTTTCTATGTGTGTTTAAAAAATCTAACACATACGTTGACAGTGCCACGTTTTTTTTTAACAACTTATTGTTTTCGAAAGTAAAAGTCACATTTGTTAAACTTTAGGATGAATTTGTTTAGCAACATTTAAATGCTTTTGCCAACATCACGGTCATGCATCACCCAAGTACAGCCAAGAGCAACAAACTGTTGCTATGTGAATTATCAAAAAGGCTAATTGCATCCATCTAATATCGGTTAGCATTAAACCAGCAGTGTGCCTGTGCATGCGTGTGTGTGCGTGTGTGTGTGTGTGTGTGTGCGTGTGCGTGTGCGTGTGTGTGTGTGTGTGTGTGTGTGTGTGTGTGTGTGTGTGTACTGGGGGTCATGCCAACATGGGAGGGACCGGACCGTCAAGTGGCCAGCTCTCGAGCCTGCTCGCCCGCCCACCGCGCGCCACTCCACACTGGGATCAGCGCGCGAGGATGATGCCAGCCAGAGGTATATGGATTGAAACTGCACCGTGACACAACTCGAGTAAAGAGGAGGTGGCTGATGAGTGAGAGTAAAACTGAGAGAGTTGCGGAACAAAGGACAGATGAAGAGCGGAGGGAGCAGGAAATAACCGGAAACTCACCGCTGGTTGCTTCTCTTCTGACCGCACCGATGTCCGAGGCCCACCCGGTGCCAGCTGAAAAGTGACCGAGGCAAAGCGCACAGGAGCGGCCACAGGAGTGAGGAGCTCCCGCTGACATCGCTGGAGCTCTTCTCGGTGACTGAGAGTAAGTTCATTTTTTTTTAACTTAAAAAATTATAACATTCTCCACCTTTAATAAGCTTCTAGTTACGGCTCACTGTGTTTATTCTCTTTTTACACTGCGACATTAGTCCACCGCTGCCAATTAGTCACAGGACGCACTGTCACGGGCGCGCGCACACACTAACACGCACACACTTACTAACAGCTCGTGCGTCAGAATGGCCAAAGCGGATTTCTCGCGCGTGGCATCACCGGCAGATGTTGCTGCACGCGGAAGCTTCAAACATAAGCTTCAAACATTATATAAATTATTCAAAGTAACCATATTCCCACGAGGTAGATAGATAGATAGATAGATAGATAGATAGATAGATAGATAGATAGATAGATAGATAGATAGATAGATAGATAGATAGATAGATAGATAGATAGATAGATAGATAGAGATAGATAGATGATACATTACAGTAATAATAATATTTAAAACAAAGTGATACATAGATATTTAATCATTTAATAAGTAAATATACAATTATTTAATCAATAATCAAACCATATATTTTATTTAATACTTGTGTGTAATTATAACAAATTAAACATTATCAGGCCAGATATGAAAAACAATATATATTAATTTATCTTTTTAAGTTTTAGATACATGATATCAGATAAATGAAAAAAAGTCTTCGTCGTGATAGCAATTATTTTCCCAGATTTTGTTAACTGACAGTATGCAGAACAATCTGCAGTTATGGTTCATATATCTATGCTCATTTGTTTTTTATTCATTTAAAACTGCCTGTAGTATTGGGCCTGCAAGCCATAATATTTGGGACACCGAGGGGTAACATGTTGGCCCTATGCGATTTCTCCCCCTTTTTTTAGTACATGCCATCAGCCCATGCACACAGATTAGAATGAACAAATATAGGCCTACATTATTTAATACCAGTGTGGGCTCTATTGAGCGCGAGTTGTCAGTTTTCCCAGTGACGGCTACAGCAGTCCAAGAGTGCCATTATTAAGTCTAATCTAGTGGTTAACAGCTTTCACTTTCATTGCTCGGTGTTCATATTTTATGCAGCTTTCCGCTGGCTTTGAAAAGCTAATCTGTCCCTGATATAAGCGCATTGGCTGCTTTGCCATCTGGGCTGTATTATTGTCGAGAGGACAGGGCATTTGAATAATTGATATTTAGCTATTTATAGTGGGATTATTCTCTTCATGTTGCACCGGGGGACCAATGCACTGATCTATCTATCTATCTATCTATCTATCTATCTATCTATCTATCTATCTATCTATCTATCTATCTATCTATCTATCTATCTTTCTATCTCCATCTATCTATGGCGTAATCATCAAGTAACTCAATCCGCCTGAAATGTAAAATACTGTGTTCACATTTTGTCTTCCTACACCTCTTTTTCATCTGTCCATTTATCATCCATCCATCATTCTGTTGGGTGAGCGCTAGTGTATCCATCTGAAGTGGATTAGGGGTGTTATCAATGCTAAGTAGGACTGCTGTACACACACACTCTCATATGCATACACACACATTGAAACACACATGCTACTCTCACTCTATTTCACTCCCAGAGGACCATTGACCATTGTCAGCCTCTCTCAAGCCTCTTTCTCTTTTGTGCGAATGTGTATGAGTGTGTGTGTGTGTGTGTGTGTGTGTGTGTGTGTGTGTGTGTGTGTGTGTGTGTGTTTGACGGTAAACACTCTGATCAAACAGTGCTTAACAAGCTGCCTGCACTGATAACAGAGACAGGAGAGGAAGAGAGGATGAGAGAGGGATAGAGAGGAAGGAAAAAGGGGGAAAGGGGCGTCGCGATAGAGAGGAGGTTACGTACTGAAAAAAAAAAGATAATGGGGCTGTGTTTGTTTTTACACTTGGTTAAATAGTGAGATGTACTTTTTTTATATACTTTTACTTACTGTGGAACAACCACTTACACTTCTGTTCATTATATCTGCAACAATTAGTATCATTTGGATTATCAATTAAGAAATTTTTCATGGAAACATGTCAGAATAGGCCATTTTAAGGATCTCAAATACATTCCAGCTTCTCTCTGTTTTAAAAAAATGATATTAAACAAAACAAGACATTTTCAGAAATGTTTCTAACATTTTAAAGAACAAAGGATTTACAGATAAACCTTGGCACATGAATTGATAATAAAAAGAATTGTATGTTGCAGCACTACTCTAAACATTAGACTTTATTTCCAACGACTGCTTCTGTGTTATTGTTTTACAGAAAACCACTTGAACTTGTTATTCATAAGCCTTACGTCTGCTTTTCTGTTTTACAAGCTCTTCCAGCTATTGGATGTGACGCCATGCAGAACTACCTATTGTCAATATTTTCCAGCTATAAAAACACGTGTTATCACTACTTTGTTATTGCTACATGGGAAGTTCCACATCCAAACACTGTTATCGCCCTCCATTTTGTTACATGTGTTTTGATGTGCTTTCTTAGACAGCACACAGTTGATAGAAACAGGAAAGGTAGTTTGAAGCGAGGTGGCGATATGATACAAAGATCACGAGCCAGATGTTAACCTGCTGCACCCCCCTTTCTGTCCCCCTGCACACACTCCCTCTTTCTCTCTGACTTCCATCGCAGTGAGGTCACTTTCTACATGGTGTTGTTCCCTCCTATGTCATGTAAGAAAGCTACATTTGCCATTTAGGTATTCATCTCACTGTGGCTAGCTGCTCAAAATGGTCCCATTTTTGATATTTTGCAGCTTTATGCGAGGACGTTGCAGCCCGTTTTTATAACCACTGGAAGCTGCTGGTGACCTGTTTCACTGTCCAGGTGAGCGGAAGTCATGTGCCAGGCACACCGAGATCTGTTCACATCGATTCATTTGTCAACATCGTGTAGTCACGGGTGCTAAACAGAACATTATTCTAAGTGAGGAAAAACATGGCCCTCAGATGCAGTAAAAGTACAAAAACGACACTGTAAAATACAAGTTAAAGTTTTGTATTGAATAGTAAAAGAATGCAAGTATAATCACAAAACTGTATCAAAGTTTTCAAAGAGCAACGCATAAAAATGGCTCTTATATAACATCATAAATGTATTATTACTCATGCAGTAATATAAAAGCAGGGGATTTACTGTTGCTGGTTCAGGCACATTTTTGTAACTATTTTACACAAGAATTTCCATATGGATGAATCAGACGGCTGTTTTTTCGATTTAAAGATCCCACTCCCCTCTTACGCAGAACTGGAGTTAATCTAATTGTTGCCTTGCATACTGGCCGATACGAGTACCACTCGATACCAGCACAAATATAAACAAGATTATTGTTCTTTTCACAGCATCATTATGTGCAGTACATATCAAGCAGAAGAACGTGTGTTGTTGTTGTTCCTGTGTAGCGTAAATGAGCTGATAAATGATATTGGATTGTGCATAGTGATCCAGGATGTTAGGCTACACTAGAGGCTTTTTAAGAACTACAAAAACATGAATGCTGTCTTTCTCTCCTCTCTGTCTGTCTCTACAGTGATGGATTCCCCCACTGATCTCTTCGAGGACTCTTCCCCCCAGATTCACGCGTTCGCTCCGTCTCTCAGCTCCACAGATCTCCCTGCTCCACCCAGTGCAGGGCGCTCTTCTCCAGCCTTCAGACCCCCGGGTTTCCCCCTCATACACCACCTCCTCCAGCCGGGTGGAGCACCCAGGAGGATTGGAGGGCAGCTCAACACAAACCTGAGACAACAGGAAGACAGAAACTTGGAGGAGGGCAGAGGAGAGGTGAAGCAAGGGACAGATGGAGGAGAGGAAGGAGGAATGGAGGGAGAGGAGAGCTTAATGGGGTTCAAGAAGAGGCACAACGATGCTGCGCTTGCGGCCGAGTGGAGTCAAGACGTCCTAAAAGTGAAGAGGATGAAACTGGAGAGCCGACCAAAAGGCGGAGAGGCAGAGGAAGGAGGCAGGAGGCGAGAGGGAGGGAGGGAAGGAAGGAGGAGAGAAAGGGAGGAGCTGAAGGAGCAGCTGGATGAGGCGAGAGAGAGACTGCAGGCCCTGCAGGAGAAAGTATGGAGGGCTTTTGGGGAAAAGCATATGGCAGAGGAGGAGGAGAAGAAAGGGAGGTGCAGAAACAGAGAAGATGGGGGAGAAGATGCTGGACTGATGGAGGAGGAGGAGGAGGACATCACAGAAGGGATGTACGATGAGGAGGACATTGAAGGTGGAGATATGGAGAAAGAAGCTTTTTCTCTTCTTTCCGTTTCCCCTTTCGACAGCTTCCACAAACAGAGAGAGGAGCGGCAGAAAGACGGAGAAGGGAGGATGGAGAAAGGGAGAGGGTTGCACCTGGAGGGCGTGATGGAGGAGGCGGGGTTGTGGTTGGACTGTGGAGGTCTGGTCAGAGGAGACTGGCATGGAGGGGTGGAGGAGGAGGGTGAGGAGGGAGGGCAGAAGTTCGCTCAGGCGCTGAAGGTGGAGCTGGGCAGCGCCGTGGCCCGAGTCATCGACCGAGTCCTCCGCCTTTACACCGAGATGACGGATCCTTCCTCTCCTCCTGCCGCCATCTCCTTTCTCCCGCCGGGAAACGATGGCGGGAGGGAGAGGGGGGTGTGGATGGGACTGTTAACACAAGGAAGACGGGAGGAGAAGATGAGAGGGAACGAGGAGAAGACGGGGAGGCAGGATGGAGAAAGGGAGAAGCAGCTTCAAAACAGGAGCAGTGGTGCTCCGCCTCACCGCTCTGAACCCTCAGATCTATCGATGCCATTGGCTCTTCAGAGGTCACCTGACATACGAAAAGCCCACCCCCTCCTCGGGCCTCCTCTCTCTACTCACCACCCGAACCTCAGAATTCATCACCCTTCTCTCTCTCGCCCTCCTCCTCTTTCTCACCCTCCCCTCCTGACTCCATCTTCACAACCCAAAGACCTCTCCACCTCCTTCCAACCTACCTCCTGTTCCTCTTCTTCTTCCTCTTCTTCCTTCCCTGCGCCTCCCCCTCCACCTCCTCCTCCCCCCCTCCCTCTCCCCCTTCTCCACTACTCCATGCAGCAGCTCTTCTCTCGCTCCCTCCACCACCATCAGCTCCCCCACCTGCCCCCGTCCCGCAAGGACTACTTGAACTCTGACCCTTTCTTGGAGTTCTCGTCTCACCCCTCGTCTCACCCCTCTTTCCCACCGCTCCCCTTGCTCGGTCACCTGGACCCCTCCCTCGCGCGCCACGCTCACGGGGGCAGAGAGAGGGGGATGAGGGGTGACGGGGGGATGAGAGGAGGAGGGATGGACGGAGGAGAGCTCTACCTGACTGCTGGAGGAATATCCTTTTGTCCGCAGTGGGGGAGGAATGGGGGAGGGAAATGTGTTTCTTTATGAGTGTGTTAGTTTGCGTGTGTGTTTGTGTGTGTCTCCTTAACTGGCCTCATGTTTACACCCAGGAGGGATTGTCTCCTTGCCACTTGAAGAAAGCTAAGCTCATGTTCTTCTACGCCCGCTACCCCAGCTCCAACACACTCAAGACCTACTTCCCTGATGTCAAGGTGTGTGTGTGTGTGTGTGTGTGTGTGTGTGTGTGTGTGTGTGTGTGTGTGTGTGTGTGTGTGTGTGTGTGTGTGTGTGTGTGTGTGTGTGTGTGTGTGTGTGTGTGTGTGTGTGTGTGTCAGGGTTATTATCTACACATTACATTAAAACCCAAATGAATGATACAGCATAAACTCCATAAACTCTTGTGACATTGAACCACAGACACTAAACAAACTATGCCTCAATCATTTCACATCAGGCAAGATTAAACATTAAACTTTAAGGTCATTACCACACTGTTCTTCAACCATGATACATACGATTCAGACTGATACTGATAATTGGCCTTCACAAAACAGTTGTAAAACTAAATATTTCTGAAAAAATAAAATATGTTTTTAATAAATAAATTCAGTAATTTAAAGTAAAATGACAATTAAAAATGATTCTTACATTAGTGTGTATCCCATCACAGTGCTGGATCAAGATTTGGTCCATTATTGAGATTTAAAAAATAAAATAATAACAATCGAAATCTGATCCTATTTTATCTAAGCGACTATTTTATGGAAATGTACACTAAAATGTTGTCATTTTAGATTAAATACACTTAAGGAGATATTTGAATGTTTACATTTCCAATACTGTTGAGTGGTTTGACTTATTTTATTGCACTTTATTGCAGTTTGGCAAATTACTCGGAGTGATTAACGGTACATCGAGTTCCGTCGCGTGCTTCAACGGAGACGCTTCCCATTCACTTTGAATTGGGTGACGTCACGCTTTGCCAAACTGCATTGTGGTTCCGTCGCATCGCTTTGCCTCAGTTGCTCGCTTCGAAAGTTGAGAAAAAATTCAACTTTTCAAGCGTCGACGGAAGCGCCAGCCAATCAAATCATATGCCAGTACAAGCGCTAGCCAATCAAACCGCGTGCTTGTGTGTCCGGGGCGGGAGATTAATGTGATTGGTTGTTGGTCGCGCACCAGACACGCCCACCGGCAAGCTTCATGCTCTAACCAACTGAGCTAATCTGCCACGCATCAAATTAAATAAAATGGCAATTTGTGTGTTCACAAACAAATTCAATCACAATAACAATTCAATAACAACAAAAAGTTGTATTAACAACCAAAGAAAGAAGTGTTGTTCTCATTAATTGTAATGTGATTATGTATAAATATTACCACTCTCCACTATGACAGATTAAAACATTAGCTACTGGTTCAAGCTCTCTTTTAAGTCAAGTTTTATAGAATTACCAACGCTGAATTAAATGATTTAATGGGCTCTCCTCGCTTGCTGTCCACCCTGCTCACTTCCTGTCCTGCTGTTTCCTGTCCACTGTGCAGTTTAACCGCTGTGTGACCTCGCAGATGATCAAATGGTTCAGTAACTTCAGAGAGTTCTTCTACATCCAGATGGAGCGCTTTGCACGGCAGGCTGTCCGCGAGGCTCTCACCCGGTGGGTTTCAGTTGGCACCGGTTAAAGTTAAACCCGTTTGCTGCAAACTTCTATTGTTTCCCTTGGTTTCATAGAGCTGGCAGTTTGTCATGGAATTTCTTTATCTTTGTTGATTCATGCTTTACATGCTGTGTATATGCTGCATATTTGGTAATTGTACAGAGAGGAGCACAATGACTAAATTGTTTTGTATCAGGCTTGACATTTTCCTGTTTTATGCAACAGTGTTTTACAATATAATTGTTTCTGTGATGTCCATTTATTTGTTCAAGTGGTCAACATTTGCCACAGTGAATGCATTGTACAGGACTGTTAGGAATACATAATTGTACTTAATGGAACCATAGAAAGGATTCAGGAGAGGGTTTTGGTCAAAATAAATGTATAAAAACTACAAAAAAGAGTCCAGATGGATGTCATGGTGATGTAAATGAGTGTGTTTGTCTGTGTGTGTAATTAGGGATGGTGCGCCTCGTGTGAGCAGAGAGGGTCAGCTGCGAGTGGGCCGTGATACGGAGCTTTACCGCATACTGAACATGCACTACAACAAAAGCAATGTCTACCAGGTAAGCAGAGTGTGTGTTTGGGTGGGTGCTTTATAATCGGTGTAGCTGTAAGTGATGCTGTTATTTAATTTTATCGATTGAGTCTGATACGCTTCTAGGTTTCTTTAATGGCAGTATGTTTGAGCATCCCTTTGTAAATACAAGAAAACCACAAGGCACTGTACTGTATGTTTATGTAGAGACATATATACAAACAGGATGTATTTATAAAACTGTATCTGCTACAATGACTATAATGACATATCCTTGGTCTGTCCAGAGCTATTGTATACTTTCATAATTGTTTATATTTAATGGTAAGTTGTTCATTAGCTGATATCATTGTTTGTGTTTATTTGAATTGTGAGGATATATTTCCAACATACATGCACAACCTTTTTATACTCCAATTTCATTTCAATGCCTTGGCATTTCTAGTGTAAACTGAGATGTTGCTCAATGGTAACGACCTGAAATATCTTTCTCAAAAGTACTTTGGCGTTATTAGCACCACGCTCTAACCAACTGAGCTAACCGGCCATGTTTAGCATTATGTCATATGCTGAGTAATTTGCAACTACTTACTGTACAATATCACCTTGGTGAATAAATGTTATTCTTGTAACTAACTAGTGTTTTGAGTTAAGTGCTGATTAGGCTCAGGTTAAAACAGGGAGCTTTGCTGCAGACATGTCTCTCATACAGCAAGATGAGCACAGGTGTAATTAATAACCCTAATGATGCCCACGCTCCATTAACAGCTCCAGGGCCTAGGTATTAAGCTTTTCATTAGTGTTATTCTGCACATGTGTTTTTGTTGTTGTTGCTGCAATATGAAATGTTGCAAATCCTGTTATGTAAGGTCACCAAACTCTTACTGGGGAAGTATTAATAAGGTATCAAAACCTAAAAAATAAATGCATATGTATTATCTGCTTTCTATTAGGGTCTAATTAAATCTAATTAAAAATAGGACAAATGCAAAATAAAAAATGCTAGAATACTGTATGAATACAAATATGATCATGTTTAGTATTGCAATTATTGATTACATTTATGGTTTTAACTGCTGTGTGTATAATACGAGAGCTGACAGGGGCAACATTTCCAACATTTAACCCTGTTTCTTTTTTTATTTATGTGAATTGTTTCTCATTCCGGTTGAGATTTCTAAAGTCCTAAATCAGTGGACCTTGAAGTATTTTGTCTTTTGACATTCACATTTCTGTGTACAGGTCCCAGAGAGGTTTATCGAGATATCCGAGGTGGCTCTGAGGGAGTTTTACTCTGCCATCTGGACCGGCAGAGACAGCGACCCCTGCTGGAAGAAAGGCATTTATAAAATCATCTGTAAGATGGACAGTCCCGTACCAGACGCCTTCAGGCTGCCTGGCTGTCCCATCGGCTGAGGATCAAACCACTGTCATCTGGTACATGTATACAAACGCATGCATAAAACACAAACTCACTACAAGAGGAGCATTTTATTAAAGCATTCTCAATCCCATACTGTGAGAACTGGTAATCAATTCTACAATTTCATTCATTTTGAAGAAAAACAAAAGAGTATTTAATGTGCATGTACAGAGACATACATGCTCAAAAACACGCACACACACTGGGTGAACACTGACACTCAGTGCTGTGATAAGAGTCTTGTGACCGCACTTACGGAGGAACGTGACCGTACCATTGAATTACAACGGGACAGAACCATTTCCAAACATTCCTCACCAGTCAGCTGACTCGTGAATTCCCAGTGCTGCTAAACGGGCTTGAAAGAACTGTCAAGAAAATAAGAGTTTCTGCGGCCACAGAACTGGAATACACTGATTTAATCACAAGGGAATCATGGAGATATGTTTACTTGCTGTGTTAACATGTAATACATCATTAATCCTCTTGAGTATATAGTATGCATTCCTTCGCAGTCTCTTGCAGATGATTGCGTTTTACAAGACCATTCAATGCATCCCTCAGTAATCAAATGTACTGCTGACCAATGTTTACCAAGCTGCACAAGTACTTGTTGCAAGACAAAGAGACCACAACCTAAGCACATTTTCTCTCAGATTAGGGGCCCCATTCTCCTCATCATTTCTATTTCAAAGAGAGCAGTCTCAAACATCTACATTCCTGTTAAACATTTTCCTGATAAAAAAAGTAGTAATGTGTGATTAGCAGTTTCTCACTCCCACATCATTTCGATGCTGCTCTCCCTCAGGGGTGTAGACAGAACATTAAATGTGATTTTTTTTTTTGCTTGAAAATGAACAGTTATTGTTGCCTTGTGTGTGGGCTTCTCTGGAGTATCAGAATTACACTTGTATTTAATTAGTGAGTTTACATTTTGGTTTAATTTTTCCATGTCTTTGAGAATGCTTTCCCTTTTTTTCAACAACACAAGGCTTTTATATTTGCATTTATTCAAATGTAAAGGAAAAGATGGGGACCAATCTTAATTAATGTTGCATAATATATTACAAATGTTTTGGGAATTGTAAGATTTTCCACTTTTAGCGACCTATCAGGGCAGTGGTTTCAGTCAGTTGTGCTTGTATATCCATCTCTTTGTTCAGTATGGAATAATTATATAGCTTTTGTACATGATGGCACAATGTAATCTAAATGTAATTAAAATTCTGCAAAAAGAAGGCCAATATATTGAATTTAAAATAGTTAAATTAATGTTTTGTTGTTAACTTGATGTTATCTTAATGTTTAAATATTCACTTTTTATTTCCTTATGTGATTCTTATTGCACAGTTATTATATATGGACATATGTTTCCCAAAGGTATTACAGAAACTTTTACTATTTACTGTATGTCATGACTCTTTTATGGAGAGGAAACGTGTTGACTGACTGCTATTTGTGACGTGTTTCAGTGCATGTTTCCTACATCACATTTTGTATTGTGATCTCTTCTGTTTCCGTCATTGGTTTTATTGGTCTCTCTTTTATATTGTACATAATATTATTCTATTGTTTAGATCTGTGCCTCATTCAGACTTGAATTGACGTGATTTTTGGTGTTTAAACTTATCAGTGAATTAAAGTGATACCAGGCTATAGTGTTGTGATGACTGGATCCACATTACACACATACATACACACTTACACACACACAGTCCTGCTAGCCAACACTAATACCATCACACTTTAAGCCTTTAATCTAACAACACACTAAAACACATGCATTCTCATTGGATGTTAGCTTTGTAAGAGGCTCAACCCCACACACACACACACACACACACACACACACACACACACACACACACACACACACACACACACACACACACACACACACACACGCACGCACGTACACACACACTTTCTCTGGTATGCTGGAAACGCATCCAAACCACTGAAATCTTGTAGAAAACAGCTGCTGTTTTCTAACACACAAGCTGGATGAAAAGTCTTTGAAAAAAGATGTATCATTTAATCATCAGCTTTTAAATGAATCACCAATTATCTTTGATAATCCATACCTCAAGAGATGAAAATAAAAAAGCCCAATTTTGCTTTTCCTGTCTACCCTAAATGTAAACATATCTTTGTTCACAATAGACACACATAAATGCAAATTTTCCCTGTCAAACTATTTTTTCCCTTTATTTCCACTTTAAAAATCATACAGGTCACATTTCAGCTGTTCCAAGAAATGTGCTTTTTATTAGCTGGTATCTATTTCCGCAACGGCTTTTTGAAACCAATTCCATTTTAAGGCTGTTAATGATGCTTTAAATTACATTCAAATTAGCTTTTTTGCACCGCAAAAAGAAAGCTATTCAGTTTTCAAAGAACGCTTCACATCATAAAACGGGTAAAAGAGTCTTTTGTGGCAGAACTGGCATACAATATTAACTCAAAGCCTAACTGCAGACTGTGTACAGCCCATCAGCCCTGAATAGGGGAACTCCATCAGTATTCAACTTGCAGAAACTTTGTTCATCGTATGACAAGACTCTAATTACAGGAACACATACATACAGTGTAGTGCTGTTTCATTGGTGCAATCTAAGCATACATATTTCTTTGAAAAATGTGTGACACATAATCAATGGGTTATACTTTTGATATGTTTGGGTGCCAGGTAATGTTATTTTTTAAAGTGACTTCTTAACGGTCTTGAAAATTGTGTTATATATATCAGAATAGCATGGTCATATGACATGAGTCACAAGGTCTGATTAGGCATCTCGCACACACACACACACACACACACACACACACACACACACACACACACACACACACACACACACACACACACACACACACACACACACACACACACACACACACACACCTATATACCGACACCTATACACACACAGACACATATACACACACAATGACATGCCTGCTAGTAGCTCAGCATTTGACTAAAAGTCTTGCCACCTGATAGTGTAGTAGTAACACAAAAACGAATTTATTATCAGACATGAATCCAATCTTATGATGAGCATTACAATATTGCAGTAGTGTCTCTTAATGTATTCTAATAAGACTTAATATGTGTGTAAATGTTTGCATTTGCATGAATGAAAAGCAGGTTCAGCTTCCCTTCCCACAGCTTTCAGTGGACCTTTCTGGGTTATCCGTAGAGAATTGCTCTGTATGACATTAGTGTTGAAGTTCCTCTGCCCATCAGTGTGACAAATTTAATACACGATTTCCACGCATTTCTTTATCTGGTGGCGCTGAAGGGAAGCTTATTGAAGCTAAACCCAGGAGTCTTTCTCATGCGCAAGGTTGTTGCTGCTGCTGGACCAAGAGTGAGGACGTCTGAGACATAAATCCCAGAAATAACGCTGGAAATCAAACCCTCGCATCTTCAAATTTAAAGTGTGGCATTTGTTGAATTGCATAGAGAGGAGACAGGTGAGTTTTTGGGCATCAAATAATGTCATATAGCTCTATTGACATCATTAATTTGTTTATTAATGCAACATTTGACAATATTTAGCTAAGTAAGATCTGCATGGAGTTATGTATTTCCTTTTTTTGGAAACCTGTAAACCTTGTATATGAACAAATATTTGAGTAAAGTTGTAAAGGTTTAGAAAGATAAGGAAGACTAAAGGGGAATATCAAGACAGCAATACATATTTCTATACTGCCTTGAGTTATCCTATTCGTATTAATATTATAATTAATATATGTTTTATTTTGTATTTACATACATGTTTCTCCGTTGTAATTTAATGTAATTGTTTTTCCTAAAATGCATGTACTATTGCACTGTTCTGTCAACGCATTCTTCGATAAATTCTCATTATTTTCAACGAACAAGCTAGTTGCAAGTTAACTACTGTAGCTAGCAGCTGTGCTATTCTTCTTAACATTTTATTTTAGAAAAACAATACCGGAACTGTCCTGTATCTCACCTTGTGTGCCTTCACACAAGAAGAAAAGCACAGATGGGATTTAACACTCAGAAAGCCACTGAGTGCGTTTGATTTCGGATTACAGTGACATACACAGTACGAGGTTTATTTTAAAAAAGGGGGAGATTTGTTTAGGAGTGTGCTCCCTCTCACTCCTGTTCACTGCCCTCCGGATTCCTGCAGGACTCCAGAGTGGCGAAGAGCCCATGCTAAATTAAATGAAATGTGTCTACTTTTACTACCAGATGTGCGGTCCGTTTATGCAAAAGTTGCCGATTTCTCATCCACAATTACGTCACTTCCGCCTAAAACCCAGGAGGTATACGATCGAGCACCCGTGCCTTAACGCCCCGTGCTGTCAGACAGGAGCTGGCCAGGAGAAGATGGTGTTACCGGGGCTGCTGCTGCTGGAGCTGACTCTCTACGCCAGCTGCTTCATCTGTGGGATTGTCACCGCCGCCTCCACCACCATAGTCCAGGTGATTTTACGCAGAAATGATAAAACTATCCTAATCCTACATTTACTCTATTTCCATCCTCTTCCGGGAACACTCACTTTTTCACTGCGTGTATTCCTGAGAGGTTCATGCTCACCAAAGAAAATCCCGAAATAACAATTAACAGGCTGGATTTATGGCATTTATTTGCAGTTTATTCCAACGTTTTCATTCGTTTTGCATTCATTCGTTGTCTGGTTAACTGCAGAAACATATTAGTCTTTGTAACTCTTTTTTACGAACACATTAAAAAAGATAGGTGTTGTAGGTCTCGGACATACCTCTTTCTCTTTGTATTAACCTTCAGTGGTGGATTCAGATTCTTTACTTGAGTAAAAGTACTAAAGTAATACCACACTGACTGTACACATACTCAATTTCAAGTAAAAGTACTGCATTGAGAATGGTGTTTGGGTCAAAGTATTTAAGTATGATTGGGGAAATGTACTCATTGCAAAAACTACAAAATTGGAAATTGTAATATTTAAAAAATAAATCTTCACATTTAAAATGCTGGAACTCTGAAATATTTTGGACCAGAACACATTTTAGCAAAATTGCTACTTAAATATAATGTCGGATGGTTTAATCTATTCCAAATAATCTTATTTTGTAAATTTTTCCGTAGTATTGTGTGTCAAAATCTCACTTTATAAAGTAACTAATACAAAAATCTTTACAATAAATGTAGAAAAATAAAAAATGTGCTTCAAAATGGAGTAGACTAGAATACTATAAAGTATAAGGTGAAAGTACTCGAGTAAGTTCGAGTATAGTACTTGAGTAAATGTACTTAGTTACTTTCCACCACTGCTAGCCTTTATAATTGGGTTTAAACTTCACAATGCACAGTATAGGGGGGAAACTACAGAAGCACATTCAATTAGCTGCACTGATTTTACGCTATGCTTCAGGCTCTGTGAAAAACTAACATTTATTTTGAAGGTTAAAACTCCTTAAACACAACGTTCTGGTCTTCACTGATTTGGATATGTGTGAGCTGTGAAATATGTGTGCTCGCGAGTAATCAGAGAGTCATGTGTCCGTTCTCATCATGTGACCAGATGGTTCTCGTGCCCAATTATTCTCTCTACTCCTTTATGGGAGTCAGATGCTGCAGTGAACATGTGGTTACTGTGGATATGTGAGACGAAACTGAGAGTATTGAATAAAACTAAAGTACTAAATAACTAAAATGTCATTCTTTCTCTTGTCTCAGGGTAATTTTGGAGGTCATTGCATGCTGTATGGACTTGTGAACTACAACACCACAGCGAGCCTGATCGGGGTGCAGTCCTCCAGCACCCCCTCTCTGTGCTACTTCGTGTCGGCCATATCAGTCCTTGTGGCGGTGACGTGCT